ATGTTCCCCGCAGTTCCTGCTAATTGCTCTCCCAACGTATCTAACGAGTATTTCGCAACTTCAATATCCACATTGTCAGCAACCTGTAAAACTGCACATTGCAAAGAGGCGGTACCAGGCTTCGCCCGCCCAGAGCGACGTCTGGCAAGAAGAGGGGGCGCTGCGCAAAGATCAAGCAGGGCTGGAGCAGGGAGGGGGAGAGAGCGAGGGTACGGGGCGAGGGCGGGGACGAGGGCGAAGGGTAGAGCCAGGTCTAGGGTTGGGGCGAGGGCTAAGACGTGGCCTAGGGCTATGGCGAGGGCAGGGCGGAGGGAGGCGGAAGGAAAGGGGCGTCTGGGAGCAGGGTTGGAGGGGGCGGCACCGTGTCCCCGTGATGCTTTATGGGAGGGATTATCGCCGGCTGGCGCGAGGCAGCCTCGGGCCCTTCCTGTGGGAACGCCGCCAGGCCTCGGGCCTTCCGTCGCCCTTCCTCCGCGTTCTGGCGCGGAGTGCGCATCGCCCCCAAGAATTTGTTTCCGTTCCGCTTCTTGATACTAGCTATGTTTAATGAATTTTTTCCAGGCGTAGGTACCTTTGTGCATGTCATTGTGTTTATATATCTCCACAGTTAAGACATTACGTTTCATCTCGTAACCGGAGATTTACTCATTGGTGTGTGTTGTATTATTGTGCCAGTACGTTTCATTTTGAAAGTGAGTCTTCGAAAATGAAAGTTTGTGGAATATTATTTGCATAGAAAGAGTACTATATCTTACATTGGCAGTTTAGAAAGTAGTTGAACTACTACAATATATTTCAAGAATAGCTCTAAACAGCTATTAAAGTTGAAGACCCTTCATATGCTTATCTCTATTATGAAATATTATTAATTATTTATGTATTTCACAAAGCAAAGACAACGTTATTTGAGTGATTTAAAATATTTTAAAATTTTTTTGTTTATTTACAGGATTTGGCCCTTTTAATCAGCATTCGCATTTACAAGGATTCCATTTGAGAATTCACCTCTTTAATATTTTAATTACACTATCATCACTGCTTTGAATATTACAAAGCCGCATTAAAATGATTTTGCAAAACATCAGTATATAAGAAATATTCATACATCTGTTGACAATTACAATCTCATCAAATTTGTACAATTAAATTCTACCTCCGCGAAGAAGTACTACAAAATCATATAAACAATTTCATGCGTCGTTTTTCAATGTCGAAGAGACACTGAGATGGTTCAAAGCCTGACTTACAATCAAACATGCAGGTATTATGCAACGTTGTGTGTACATGTCACCATTCATGGCGACGATAATCGTTTGAGAAATAAAGGCAGGAATCACATCTTAACCAAATTTGATAAGATCGTCAAAACATCTTAAATGCATTTTCTAGGAGTCTCCCACTGCAGCCTCCCTGACCACCACACGAGTATTTACTCTACTCTTCCACTCTGTACCGGATTCGCCTATCTACAGAGGAGCATACGTCAAAACGACCACTCTTCTAAAGTAAAGAAATTCCCTTTATATGTCGTAATTTCGGAGGGGTTATTTCTCTCCAAAAAGGGCTTTTGACGGACTTAAGTTCATTCTTTAAAGACACACATGCGTTGGAGAGTTGTTGTTGAAGGAGAGGATTGTGGCTGTGGTAGAAGGAAGGGGGGTAGGGTAGTAGACCGGAGTGATGAAATCACGTGACGTTTGGGCGAGACCATTACTCGGTCCATAACAAAGAGCTGTCAGAACGACGATGTTCTGTTTTTCTTTTAAAAGTGTACGAGTGAATTTGGGCTTATGATGACAGCTCCTTTTTCGTCTTGTTGCCTTTAACTGCGAGTGACAGTGACGGTAGAGCCTTGCGTGACTCCACAAGTTAGTCAGCAAAGCGGGAACTGAGATAGGTGCATTGCGTCTTATTTTATAGCAACGATCATTACCTCTTTGTACTACAAGCCATTAACGTTCTGGGAACAACAAAATCAAAATCGTATACATTCAGCGTATTACTTGACATGCCAAATTGTAACGTTTTGCAAGTGATATAAACCTATTTGTAGAAAACACAGACAATTCATCAAAAAAACCTAGTTCATCAATTCTCGGCCGTAGAAAACATTTCTCCAAATCACAAATCATATTTCGGCATTTATGTCCACATTATATGTTTATAGTAGTAAGAAGATATGAGATGTACGCTAATTCGAAAGGAAAGATTCAAATTATTAAAAACGTTCTTGACATATTGAACCCCTAGGTGTTCATATTATGTAAAATAAAATTTTAAATAACATCTTTTGAAGTTACATACAAGCTATTAACGCGTATATTTAAAGACTTGCTAAGTGTCAATACTCTCCTACAAAAGAAAAAAATATTTTCTACATTAAATCGTTTACTCACACGGAGTGTTTTGCATTAAACGAACTCTTTGAAATTCGGTTGTGTGTAATACTTGCTGAGGAATCATAATGATAGTTATATACAAAATGAAAAGATAAAACTTCTTTGGCCTCCTGATTGCGAAATGAATCTTGTAACGGTACTCTGACACGAGAGCCGCTACCTCAAACATTAACTCGACAACAAGAAAGTTACGTCTCTCCTTGAAAAGTTAACAGGAGTCTCCTGACCTCTCGATGTTTGAGTACATAATTAATTGGTACAGTCTGAAGTACAACGAAAATATTCGCCAATTGGAAGGGTACTTCAAAAAAGTCGCCAAACGTAAAGTACTCAGAAAATGCACCTTTGTGTTCCGCTGATCTTTTGTATAATTGACGAAGCTGAGATAAGCCACGTTTCAATATTAATATCTTAAAACATTTGGTTTCAGTGAAGTTTGGACTATTAAGACTTACTTTTCCCATGCTAGCTCTAGTCCACTTCTAAATGTAGCCCAGAGTTTTTTTTAAAATGTTGAATACTATTTAAATTACAGTATTATTGAAAAAATAATTAAATACTTGTCGCCAATTATTGAGAAAACGTGATAATTGGTTTGGCTATTGATGGCATAGTTCCCAACAAAGTTCAGGATCGCAGAAACATATTGCCACTAGCACAAATATTTCATAAATAAATCTTGGTTTGAGTTTTAATTCTCAATTCAACAGTCTGCTGATACGACATTTCGTTAATTACGCAATGACAACGCTTCCAGATGTTCAGTATGTCATGTATATTTGGCGTGTGTGTGTTTTCGAGCAATCCATCACATACGGTAATGTCCCCCAAAACTACGCCGCTTTATCTTTAAACTTCCCCGTACTCATGTGAAAGCCATTCCGTTGTTTCATAATGAATATAAAAAAAAACGTGCGTTCAGTAATGATACGAGAGGAAGGGAAAAGCAGGTTCCATAAAACACTGATGCTTCCGATAGTTCGCGTGTTCCGCATATCGACTTCCACCTGAACCCTCGCAGAACGCAACTGTCCTCCTCCAGCAGAAAACAAACGACCTCACGTGCTGACCACGTCGCATCACGACACAGCTCGCCGTCGTGGGGGCGGTCTCGCCGAATTCTCCGCGGAGGGCGCCACAACTGCCTCTACGGGGCGAGCTATTAGTTCCACGTACGTCGCGCGGCGGCGTGCAGCCCCTAGAATAATTGTCAGCGGCGGGGGCCTGGATAAAAATGAGGCAAAACTGTCGAAACGCCGGCTTAAGCGGTCAATTCTGGTCATCACCGAGGCCAATTTAATTTGGAAGCTCGTTTAAATTCATATCGACAGCGGCGAGAGGCGGGTGGGTGGGTGTGTACGCGGTAGCAGCAGTGGTGGAGATGGCGGCGGTGGTGGTAGAGGTGGCGGTGATGGAAGCGCGGTCGGCACAGGTAGCATTGCAATAGTTTCGGTGGTATTGTTGGGGCGATGAGAATGGTAGGCACGGATGAAGAGGTGCAGCTGGGGGGAGGAGCCGGTGGTGATAGCAGGGGGGGGTAACGGCCAGGGTAAGCGACAGGTTCAGAGTGGTATCGGGAGTGTTTTGTCGGTGTGTCGGGGGTGGTGGGGTAGTGGGGACCGGTCACGTGGCCGGACGTCGGCCCGGCGCCCCGCCCACGCCACGCGCCGCGTGCAGGATGTGGTGGATTAATGCCGCGTAACGAAGGCAGGTGGAGGCAGCAAGGCCGCACCGCGGGACTTCGTGACGTGGGCGGATCGGCTGACAGGACGCTCAGCTGATAGATGGGGAGCATATTCTCATAGCGCACGAAGCACTTTATAGCACGGCCATTCACAGACTCAAATTCCCTTTCAATACTGCTATTCTCTCAGTTGGCCATTCTGGGGTTGAATATTCAACATTTTACAATACTAATTAAATAACGAAAATGTTGCATAACAATTAAGTTGAATTCATAAGGACAATATTTGATTAACTGGAAAGAAAAATCTGAACTGTCTTTAAATGTTTAAAAGGGAGAACCGAAAAGTGTTGCCCGAAAAAAAAAATTCACAAGAGTTTTGTCTTTTTCCTCAGGATCTCTCAAAAAAGTATTATTTATCAATATAGTATGCCCGCATTTCTTCGGAAATTTTCTCTATACAATACGATACATATCTATTTTTTCAACCGTATTATTTCCACAGCATTTCAGAATAAAGAAAAGTTTCGTCTTACATTGGAGTACGAGGAATGTAAACAGTTTAACATTTTGAAAGTTCCTCCGTGTGAGTGAAATGAGTTCACAGATCGTTACCTCAACGGCACCTTTTGAGGTTACAAATCTAACCATTTCCCTTAACTTTCTTGCGCGAAATTTAGATTTGCTGCTCGTTATTTAGAATATTAATATCTGTAACCTCCTTCCTATTTATTGTTAATATACTCAGGAGTAATAACGAACTTCCAACGTTTTCCCAGAAGACATACATAGATGCATCTTCGGGCCATCCTTCGACTATTTCTCTCGTTCTTTGATTTGTAATTATTTATAAACAAATGGAGTTCAACCAGATTGCTACTATATCTCCAGCGAACGTACAGTTGAGAAGAGCTTACCTGATCGGCGCCGTTGGATCTTTCTTGCGCTGGACGCGCTCTTCCGGGCTGAGGTATTCCCACTTGAACACCAAGTTCCAGTCGAAGCCTCCTCGCAGGTCCGTGGAGGCGCCGATGTACTCGAACGTGTCCATGCTGATCACGTCAATCACCGGGCACACCACGCGGGTCTTGTCCTGTCAGGGCACAGCACAAATTGGAGTTAAGAAAGCATCGTGTGCGTTTCGTCATTAGTTTTAGAATAATAGTCAAATCAAAAGTCACGTGCCGATCCGGTGGCCGAGATCGCTAAGGCAGTAGTGCCGTAGCGATCTTGGACAGTAGGATCGCGGGTTCGAGTCCCCCTTCGGGCATGGTTGTATTGTGTTCGTCCTTTCATCCCCGGTCATCATCATATCGTGTCATCCTCATACTTACCATACCGTTACTCACAATAGTGGTTGCTAATGACCTAGAAGTTTATAACAAAATAGTAAATAAAATAATAAAGAAATAACTAAAAAGTCATGTGATCGAACGGAGGGGGGGGAAAGGACACGTGGTCTTGTAGAGTTGTTTCACGCTGAATGCAGTGTCAATCAGTAGAGGCTCGTGGCGCCATGAACTCGGAGTTCCAAACATCTGCACTAGCGAAAATCTCATTGCCACAAATATAAGCAACAAAAAATGATATTTCGTCATGTTCATTCATCGTATTACTTTCTCATATTGTAGTATATACATAGCGTAAAGGAAGTGATGCTATAATGCACATAATCAATGTCGAAATTTTGACGAAAATTCAATTTTTCGGTGTCCTTTATGTTGAAAACTAACTTGAACTATTACCGAACTCTAATGGAATGTAAAAAAATGCTGAAGATAGCATTATACATGCCTGCGGATGACGAAACGTTCTGCAAACACAAATTGTTCAACGAAAATACGAATGGGTGGAATGACTTCAAATTACGAATTATCAATTAACCTTCAATTAATAAACATTTCATAACCTACAATTTCTTATATTAAACGTTTTCGTTTTTAGCCGGCCTTGATGTCATTATTTAGATTTATTTAGTAAAAAGTTTAGTTTATGTAGTTGAAAAGTGAGTAAAAGTTAAAGATAAATAAATACAAATAAAATTTAAACAGCAATATTTGAAAAATTAGACATTTTCGTTCCCGAGTTGTAGAAAACTTATTTTCAACGGAAAACGAACTGTACATTTGATTTTTTTTGCATTGCTAACAAATATAGTAACTCGTCCTTACCTCTATTCCGACCATAACAAACAAAAAGAGAGTTCAACAAATCGGGCGCATATTGAAGCTACATTTACGCCCAGAAGCAAAACAAGGCTCAATGTATCAGGGAAACTGGACAAAAACCTGATCGAGAAATTTTACAGTTAAATGGCACAATCATATAAATACGTAGCAATTTCAGTCAGATCAGATCAACCTAATGAACAATTAATAAACTTAATAAATTATAACGAGTGGTTTGTCTATTTATGTAGTTCATGTATCATGCAACACAAGAATCAAACATAAAACGTTTACATAACCTATTCAAGAATTTTCACTCTCTCATCGTTATTTTGCTAATAAGAGAAAATGCAGTTAAGTGGGCAATGCACATGCTTCGGGGAAGAAATCAGTTTCAACCATACAAGAAAGCTGCGATCATGTGCCGAAGTTTTTTGTAAGTTTACGCAGCAGTCCGTTTGCCAATTTCTCTACCGCCGGCTTCAACTAGAATTCTCCTGAAATCGAACACGAAGTTCCCCCACAATGTGTGTTACGGAAGAATAGAATGTACGTTATGCAAGAGCACGCCCGAAGTTTGCTTGAGGGAGGCTTGGAATCTCCGGGAGTGAAGTGTTGTCGAGTGGGTAAGACATAAAACTTCCCGAAAAGTTTTCCGCCCCCAAGACGCCTGAGCGAGCACCTGGTGCCTGCTGCATTGCGAATGAGATCAGAGATGTGCTATTCGCCGCTTTTTACGGTGGCGGGCAGCGCCTCGACGCCCGCCTCTGAGGATGCCTTGTTTGTAGAAGCACGAGGCAGACCATTCGAAGCCGGAGGCGAGAGAACTCCCTTTTCTCGTTGAATAGATATGGGAACGCGCACTCGGCGGTTCGTGGTACAACTCGTAGGTTACAGTCACGACCAATACAATTGGCGAGGTGACACAAAACCCATAAAAATAGGCAGAACTCTCTACATGAAGAAAACAATATCAGGAACATACGTTTTTTTTTACAATTAACTTAGCTATATATGAAAAATTAATGAACAGCTACTTATTCTCTTTCTCATTTACAGCTAATTAATTTTACTGCTTATTTGAGCACATTATTAGTAATAATGTAGACATCAGTAGTAGTGGTACCTGCAATAAAACTATTCTAGACTCACGCCCCTCTCACGGAAGCCGCAAAGAGGTTTGGGATAGCACAAACAGTATACGTCATTTCGTCGGTGCTCAAAAAAAGTGACACAACTCAGAAATCGCCATTTCTCATTTGCGCAAAGAAAATGTGTTCAGAACAAAGTCAATTGCTACTAATAAATATTTTGTACAGAATAATATACAAAACATTACGATATATTCTCAGCTAACACTTTCCGAAAGACAAATGCTGGCCCTCGACCTAATAATATTTGCTAGGTTTCGAGCAGCAGCCTAAAATATTGAGGTATTTTTTTTAAAAAAAGGTAACTGGTTAAAACAAACTGTAAATGGAAACCGAAATCTCCACTATTACTAAATTGTTCAATACGATTTGCGGAAGAATAAGGCTCTCGTATCATAGGCTAGGTGAAGATAAAAAATCGAGAGACCTGTGAAATGGTAGGCCTGAATGCGTTTGGTCTCTGCTGACAGCGGGATCGTAATAAAAACAACAACCGATAAGTAAAAATGAGGATTGGAGGATTGAAGACGTGGACCTTTTGGCTTGGAATCCAGGTTCGCGAATATTCCGGCGGCGGGCCACCCAGTTTCGCGGCGCTGGGCACAGCGTCGCTAGCTGCCTGGATACTCTGCCGCAGCGCGTTCCCGGCGCCGCGTGGCGTGCAACCCTTCGGGGAGCGCCCTGGCGCTGCCCACGGGGCGGGAAAGGCGGTCGAGGCGCGGCGGGTCACCGCGGGCCAACACCACGGGCGCGAACGCTAACTCGATACCGCAACTTGCGAACTGCACAGCGCGGCGGTTATGCAGATAGGCGTGGGGCGACGGCGCTACAATCCTGGATCCAGTTGCTAACGAAATAGCGTCCATTGTCCTCCGGAGAGCGTGGACGTACGGGTGGGCGGCTAGAAGGGCCAGTCCCTGGCGCGGGGCC